TACATAATGGCTAATTATGGCCATAAAGTGTGAATGTTACAACTTTTGTAATGCCTTTAATAGTTTCATTTTGAGGCTATATAAAGCCTTGTATGTTATATTTGTAAGGAAGACTTAGAAGATATATTAAAAGAAGCATTTGTGCTTTTCTTTAGCCAATGGCTAAGTTTATTTGCAACTCTATGTAGTTTAGGTTGCATGTAGAATCATTCAAGCTCGACATGATCAATCTTGCTTGTGGAGTGATTCGAATCTCAATCAAGTGTTCTTGTCTTGAGATATTTGATCAACAAGAATCATTGAAGCTAGACATGATCGATCTTGCTTCTGGAGTGATTCGAATCTCAAACAAAGTGTTCTTTGCTTGAGATATTCGATCAACAAGGTAATCCGAATCTTACTCCCCTTGTATTGATTCCTTATCTTATCATTTGGTATCAGAGCCAGGTTTGGATTACCTTATTGATCAATAAGGTAATCCAAATGATAAGATAAGGAATCAATACAAGGGGAGTAAGATTCGGATTACCTTGTTGATCGAATATCTCAAGCAAAGAACACTTTGTTTGAGATTCGAATCACTCCAGAAGCAAGATCGATCATGTCTAGCTTCAATGATTCTTGTTGATCAAATATCTCAAGACAAGAACACTTGATTGAGATTCGAATCACTCCACAAGCAAGATTGATCATGTCGAGCTTGAATGATTCTACATGCAACCTAAACTACATAGAGTTGCAAATAAACTTAGCCATTGGCTAAAGAAAAGCACAAATGCTTCTTTTAATATATCTTCTAAGTCTTCCTTACAAATATAACATACAAGGCTTTATATAGCCTCAAAATGAAACTATTAAAGGCATTACAAAAGTTGTAACATTCACACTTTATGGCCATAATTAGCCATTATGTAAATGTAACCGAAATTAAATAAAATGTCTTAAAATACAATAACTCTAAATTATAACCCACCCAAAATTTACAACAATCAAACTTTATTCTTCTTCAATGTAGCATGAATTGAAACATCTTTTGATAATTTTGACAACCTTTTCTTCACATCTTCATTGAAGCATATTGTATGATTGATGTCTCTTGGTTCATATCAGAACTCGATTGAGTTCGTGGGGAACGAAGATGGAGTGGTCGTGATGCCCACCGCCTAGTGTGTTCCTAGTCCTTTCTTGGAAGGTTTAGACTGGTGTCCCATCTGTTGAGGATTATTGGGAGTGAGTCTCACGTTGGTTAATTTAGTGGAAGATCATGGGTTTATAAGTGTGGAATACTATCTCCATTGGAATGAGACCTCTTGGGAAAGCCCAAAGCAAAGCCATGAGAGCTTATGCTCAAAGTGGACAATATCATACCATTGTGGAGAGTCGTGATTCCTAACACCATCTTAGAAAGGGAAAGGGAAACAGAAGAGTTGGAAGCTCCTTTTACTTTGGGAGGAAATTTGCGTGGTAGTATTTGACTTCGATAGGAATAGATCGCTTGGTGGGTCCACTGACCCATAACCTGAAGAGCGTTAGCCCGAATCGACTTGCATTAACCAAACTACCTGAGCCCGAATCCACTCTTGCTACCAACTTGCTCAACCGATTCCCCTATGACTCTTTACGCTTCCATGAGTGTGTTTCACTGTCTGGGCAAGATTTTGGCACCTCTTTAGAGGTTCAAACACATCTTCTAGGATCCATGTGGGGTTCCTATTGATTTGTTCCCATGAAAGCATCTTTGGAAACAGTAATGTCTGTTTTGTCAACATTTGCTTCAATCATCATCGTTGATCCTGTTGGAGAGCCAGAGACCAACACCCTTGAGTCCCCACTGAATTAGAGCCCCCCTTCCCACCTATCTGCCTATAAATGATGTTAGCTCAAGATCCATCAGCCACCTTTTTGTTCTATGAGAGATAGCAAAAAGAAAAAATGTTCTATATCAAATTGCCTTGGTGTGGCACAATGAGCATTTTGCCTTGTAATTTTTCAGTTTACGTTTTAAATGTGTATTGATGCTCTTAAGCAGGCATATGAGAAATGTTTCCAAAATCTTCATTATGTGGAACGCCACGAGGAGCACACAATTGCACATGCAGTACAGACGGAATACAAGAAAACAAAGGTATTCGACCATTTCTAGTTTTCTTCTCTGCATCGAAAGTTCTTATCTCGGATCGAGGAGTCCCAGCCCTCCTGCACCGGGAAAACATCAGGGGCTAAATACCTGTGGTGGACAAGGCGGATGAGTCGTATATACTGACTGCTGGACAACAACGACAACCGTCTCTTGTCTAGTTTTGGATGATCCATATCCAGTTGATCGATTTCTGTCATTTGATAGAAAGTTATGGTTCCTTTCTGTTCTTAAATCTCCTTTTTGTTGTTGTGTTTGTTAAGGTATATCTTTGGCCAGCATCAACTAGCACAGGCATGAAAGCAGGGAAAACTGTTCAAACTGTTCTGAATCTGGCTGGTTTTAAAAACGTCAAATCTAAGGTAATTTCTTCATCTCCTTTGTTGTGGAGATCAACATAAAATGTATTCTCTCTTCCCTCCTCCACTGCCTCTAACTCGAGTTCAAATAACAGGTCGTTGGCTCAAGGAACCCCCACAACACTCTGAAGGCCCTCTTCAAAGCTCTGAATGCAGTTAGTAGCTATGAAATTAACATTGTTAATATATCTTCATACAACATTCTGCTAACAATTATATTATACGTCATGTGTTCCAGATCGAGACTCCAAAAGATATTCAAGAAAAGTTCGGACGGACTGTTGTCGAGAAGTACTTGCTATGATACGAGGTTTTCTTTTTCCTTCCTTTTCCATACTTTCTCGGGTCGAGTCTGTTCTTTTTGTTGATTCTAACTCGAAAAGGTATTGGTATTGGTTTTGAATGAGATGTAGAAAATGGAATTTTGGTATTTAACTTAAGAAATCATGGATCGTAACTTGCGTTAAACTTTTGATCATCTTTTTCTTTTCCTTCCATTTTTGTAGCTTTTTTGGTTCATCTATAAAGGAATTTGTTCTTAGTGGTTGTCTTTCTCCTTTTGGACTTCAACTTTATGGTATTCTTGGGTTACGTGAACTTAGAATTCAAATATCACTTAGATTCCTTCCTCTTCTGCCATTCCTTAAAGCCATCAGCTTCTTTATTGTTCTTACATTTTTTTTTTGCTTTCATTGTGACTTGTCTTGTCTTGTAATGTTCTTATTCGACACCCAACAAACACGTAACCCGGCTCGAAAAGGGATTGTTTTGATTATGATTTTAACAGGTTTGTGTGTGTGAATTAAGGAGTCGAGATGTTCGAATTCGTGTTTTTTTATAATCAGTATGGAGAGATAATTTTAGAAATTAATATATATTTTTTGAATGTAAATGAACATTCTAGAAAATTAAATCTTTCATAGACGTTTTGACGTTTTAACGATGAAATCGTAATTGAATCCGAGAAGTAAAAAAATTATATCCATAAAATTTATTTATAATATTTGATCAATTATATTATTTATATAGTAATGGTTGCTTAGTTGACTATGTTAGCTATTTATTTATAATTTATCGTTTGTAGTTTTAAAGTATAAAAATGAGTTCGGTGTTTTAAAATATAAAAATGAGTTTGGAGTTTCGTATTTATAAATATTTATGAGCAATTCCATTAAATACTTATAAAGTAAGGGTCGAAAAGAAATATTTCCAATCTTAACATATAAACAATACCAATAATTAAAAATTATTAAAAATCGATTTATTCTCATGGTCGGTGTCTAACTTGTTTTTTTCTATTGAATGTAATAAAATTATTGATTTTATTTGAAAACACCATGCAGTTTTTAAACAAAAAAAAAAAATGAAAACAAGATTTATACTTTATGATTACAAGAATTAGACACAAATACTAAAAATAACATTTCTTTATTTTAAATAAATTTTAAATTTTAATAATTTTCTTATTCAATCATTATATTTTCTAAAAATTACAAAATGTATTAATTTAAACAATTTTATTAGGTTTAATGAATGACTATTAAACATTTTTTTGTTTAAGTACAAGAAAATTATAAAAATACAAAAGTTAGATCAGAATTTTATTAATTGGAAAATATTTTTTATTTTATTTATTTATTGATTGTAATAAAAATATTGGAAGAATAATTAAAATAAAAGGCCTTTTATTTAAATTGGCTTAGTCTACAAGTAAAGGGCGTGGAACAAAATAAAAATTAAAATGAAAAAATAAAATGAAAAAAAGAAAGAAAAATGAAATTGTCACCACGTGTCGAATGGCATCAGCTTTTTGCAATATGAAATGACACTTAAAATTCACAACGCCACCACCACCTTCGCCGCCACTGTCTCCACCGTACCTGCAACCTTCCTTCCTTCTCTGCAAATTCTGCATTCATTTTCTTCAATCTTTCTGCATTCATTTTCTTCAATTTTCGCATTGAATCGTCTTTTTTTTTTTCTTTTTTACCCTCGATTATGTCCGAATCCAATGCTAATAATCCGATCCGCAAGGTTCTCGGATTGGGATATTGGGTTCAGGGTTTCCGTTGCTTCCCATGGATGGCGGTTAACTTCTTCCTCAAGGACGGCCTCAATGTAGATCCTTCTACTCTTCAGCTTCTTCAAAACTCCGCTAATCTTCCTATGGTCGCGAAGCCTCTGTACGGGATTCTCTCTGACGCCGTTTATATTTCTGGCCAACATCGGATCCCTTACATCGCCATTGGAGGTAAACTTCCTTTGTATTGCTTGAATCTCCTGGATTTCGCCTTTTGTTCTGTGTTGTGTTTCGATTGTGTTATTAAGTTTATTTGTTGTTTTCGAAATTGTGGAATATGTTTACGAAACAAGTTGAATTCTGGTGTTCTTTTGAAATCAATTTCGGATCCCGCCTTGAATTTTAGGGAGTTTTGATGAAAGAACACTGCTGAGATGGTTACAAGTCCTGAGGCCTCTCTTCATTCACTAATTTTTCTGTCTTTGTTCTGAACTAATGCTATGTCTAAATTATATTCAAATGACCAGATAGCATCATTCTATAATGAAACAGAAATCTTAATAAGCATTACAATCTTTGAGATTTATATTTCATTATAGGCAGGGAAATTCTGTGTGTGTGATATGCAAACGATGCCAACGTTATTGGTTCCATAATTGTAAAACGTATGCTTCTATCTGTTATACAACCTGAATAAGATCCTACAAACGATTTGCATTGCTAACTCGTTAGGCATATGACCTCGACCAAGAGACCAAGATGTTAGAAGTTCGAATCTCCCAACCCGACATGTTGTTGAACTTGAATTAAGGTTACCATGGGAGATAACCGATTAACCTAGTGTTTCTTGGTCAAGCATTTGGGCTAAAATCACTGTGCATTTGTTTTCAAGTTCCTTGAGGTAGTTTTGACGTTTTTTCAAAGCACTTTTATGCTAATCTAATCTCAAATGGGAGATGCCTTTTGGCATAGGCAAAATGATTTTGACCATGCAGAAAGCAGCTTCGCCAAATTCATTTACAAAATAATATTATTAGATAAATGCTACCTTTTTTGGGTAAGCAAGATCTGGTACAGAGAGGATAGAAGGCAGCTTTCTTTCAGTATCTTGGAAAGCAGCTTGTAAGAACTGTGAACTGAAGTGGTTTTCTATAAATTGTCTGTCATAAGCTTCTCTGTAAGCTTTTCTACATGATTGCTTTTGTTATTCTCAAGTGTCAGATCCCACCTCGTTGGAGAGGAGAATGAAACATTTTTTATAAGGGTGTGGAAACCTATTCCTAGTAGATGCGTTGTAAAAAACTTTGAGGAGAAGTCCGAAAGGAAAAGCCAAAAAAGAACAATATCTGCTAGCGGTGGACTTGGACCGTTACAAATGGTATCAAAGCCAGACATCGGGCGATGTGCCAGCAAGGAGGCTGAGCCCCAAAAGGGGGTTGCCACAAGGTGGTGTGCCAGCAAGGACGCTGGGCCCCGAAGGGAGATGGGTTGGGGGGTCCCACATCGGTTGGAGAAGGGAACGAGTGCCAGCAAGGACGCTGGGCCCTAAAGGAGGTGGATTGTGAAATCCCACGTCGGTTGGGGAGGAGAACGAAATATTATTTATAAGAGTGTGAAAACTTCTCCGTGCAGATGCGTTGTAAAAATCTTTGAGAGGAAATCCAAAAGGAAAAGTTTAAAGAGGACAATATCTACTAACAGTGGCTTGGGCCGTTACAATAAGCTTCCGTAAGATTTTCTACATGATAGCTGATTATGTAAGTTTTTGGAGAAATGAATTGGTATTACCACTGATACATTAGTTTATGTGCTGGAGTTTTAGGAAGCTATGCGCCAAGTATTTATCATGAGTTATAAATGTGAATTGGTCAAATCGTTTATCAATTATTTTCATCCTTTCATTTGTCTGATAATTAATTTACTTGAGACTCTCATTTTATTGTCAATTTTTTTTTAAAAAAGTATTCCTCTTATGCTTTATGTTGATGCAGCTCTCCTACAAGCAGTATCATGGATACCCATAGCAACTATGTCACCCTCAAGTATTTCAGTTTTCACGATCAGCATATATCTTCTCCTTAGCAACCTCGGTGCTTCAATAGCGGAGGTCGCTAACGATGCCATCGTTGCAGAGGCAGGAAAGCAGCCCACTTCTTCCAAGAATTCTCGAGCATCTTCATCAGGTGAGCTACAAGCATTTGTTTGGGTAGCATCCTCTGCTGGTGGGATTCTTGGAAATCTTCTCGGAGGCATCGGTATCGATAGGTTTTCACCTCAAGAAATGTTCCTATTCTTTGGTCTTCTTCTTTTGCTTCAGTTTTTATTAACCATCATCGTTCGTGAACGTTCTCTTAATCTCCCTCAGAGCTCAACCAGTGCTGGTATCAAGAAACAGCTCTCACAACTTTTCGTCGTGCTAAAAAGACCCGAAATTGTGTATTCCATAACATGGTTTGCTGCATCTTACAGCATAATACCTGCACTGACTGGCACCATGTTTTTTTATCAGACAGAGCATTTGAAAATTGAGTCATCTGTTTTGGGCATCTCTAAAGTTATTGGCCAAGCAGCCCTGCTATTATGGGGTGTAATTTACAATCGTCATCTGAAGTCGATCCCGTCTAGGAAACTTATATCAAGTATCCAGGTTTTGATGGCGGTGTTCATGATCTCGGACATGCTGTTCGTGAAGGGAGTGTATCGAGAAATGGGCATGCCAGACTTCGTATATGTTGTTTTGTTCTCTGGTCTTTCAGAGGTTCTGTTGTTCTTCAAGATCTTGCCATTCAGTGTTCTGATAGCTCAGCTTTGCCCACCAGGATGTGAGGGCTCTCTCATGGCTTTTGTAATGTCAGCCATCGCCCTCGCGTTCATAGTGAGCGGATGTCTCGGTGTAGCGCTTGCGTCTTACGTTGGCGTCACAGCAAATGAGTTTTCTGGGCTCCCTAATGGTCTAATAATACAGGCAGTGTGCACTGTTCTGCCATTGTCATGTTCATGGTGCATCCCTGATGATGTCAAAGCCAAAGGTAGAGATAAAGACTCCAAAAAGCAGCAGTAGCACAATGGAAGAATGGTTAGCATGGTCAGTGAATTTGAATATACATATTATATTCCATTATTTATATTCCATTTTATAACGATTTTGTTATAAATTTTTTATTTTTAAGATTAAGCTCATGAGCATTTTTCAAATCTTAGTTTTCATATACTTTATAAACAATGTCACGTACAAGTTAAAAATAAAATCATTAAATCAATTCAAAAAATATGTAAGAAACAAAAACGAACAATAGGTTCAAAAACTAGAAAACAAAACAATCAAATCCAATTATTGTAACACTGGTTCTATGGTTTTCATGTGGCGCCTTTTTCATCTGCACAAGGATGTCTTATCTTTACTTGAAATGTAAGAGTAGAACACGACTTGTGTAGGTTAAAAAATATTGAAATGTAAGAGTAATGGAGACATACGCATACATGATGAGATCTATCTTTTAAAACGACATAACATGATCTTGAGCTCTTTCTTGTTTGGAGCAGGATTGAATGTGTGGTACTTTCTCACACACGGCCCATACATGAACACATGGACCCACCAGACGGGCTC